TTAAGTAAAAGGTCCTTAGTAAAGGGCATCCACTGCTGAATATAAGGAAAATGAGTGAGGCCTATATCTACTGCAGAGGAGAAAGGACAAAAGCAATATTCCACATTAACGGTGCAAAAGAAGGGGTTTTGGTGTTCAGATCCTCTTTTGTAAAATTTAATAGATGTGACAGGACAAGACACCCCTTCATAGTTCCAAGAACCCTATGTTGTAATGCAAATGAAGTAGGAGAAAAAGGAATCTTAGATTGACAAAAGGGACCACAGCTACAATTAGAACTTTATCTACAATGACTTCCAGATGATGTAAAGAAACTGAAAAGTCATGTTCCTAAACTAACAAAAGGGACCACACTTGCATTTAACCACACTTACAGTCCCAAGTACTTTCTATGGTAATGCAAAAGATGTTTAAGGGCCTGGATGGAACCCAGACTAAGAAAAGGGACTATAGCTGCCTTTAAGCACATTAAGCACAACAGTCACTGTTGTAATGCCAAGTGAGATGGGGGAGGGAGGGATGGAATCTTAGACAAATAGAAGGGACAGTAGCTCCAAGGGCTTTTAACAGTCCCCAAACACTCGTAGGTAATAAAAAGGGAAAAGGCAGGATGTGATCCTGGAATTACAGAAGGGACCACAACTTCAATTGAGCACACTGACAGTGCCAAATGCCCATCCAGGTATTATAATAGGGCTACGAGGTGGATTGGGAACCTAGACAAAAAGGACCACTGCTACAATTAGGCAACTTCACGGAACCAAATATATGTCTAAATGCAAACTGCCTAGGAGTGCATGGGAATCCTATAATTAAGCCCATTAACAGGCCCAAGTACCCTCTGCTATACTGCAAAGGGAGTGGGAGGAAATGGAAAGAGACAAAAAGAAGGTGCCACAGCAGCCAAATAAGCACATTTCAATAATATATCTGCTCTCAGGCAATGCAGAGGAATGGGAGGATACAAGTTACCAGAGTAACAGTTTCAAGGTCCTTGAGTTTTAATACAAAGTGAGGATAGATGGGTTCCATAGTGGCATTTAAGCACACTAACTGCCCCAAGGACCCTCTGTGTTTTTTCCCCCCTTAGAACCCTGTTTTAATTCATAGAGAGGATGGGTGGGTTGGGTTGCAAAGTAAGAAAAAGACAGGGCTGGCATTTAAGCACATTACATGCCCCAAGGATTGTTTTAATGCAAAGTGAGGATGGGTGGGTTTCACACTAAAAGGCAGTAGTGGCATAATTTAAATGGATTAACTTCTCCAAGGACCTTCTGCTTTAATGCAGTTAGGATGGGTGGGTTCCACCTTAACTTAAGGGCAGTAATGGCATTGAAGCACATTAACTGTCCCAAGGACTCTGTTTTAAATCAAAGTAATTATGGGTTCTATGAGTGACATAAGGACACTAGTGGCATTTAAGCACATTAACTGCCCCAAGGACCCCCAGTTTCAATGCAAAGTGAGGATGAGTGGATTCCATATTACCTAAGGGCAGCTGTGGCATTAAAACACATTAACTGCCCCAGAGACTGTTTTAATACAAAGTGAGGATGGGTGGGTTCCACCTTAACATAAGAACAGCGGTGGAGTAAGAACCCTCTACTTTAATGCAAAGTCAGGATACATGGGTTCTATACTGACATAAGCACAG